TAGGAGGGCCTCTGAGGTCTGAGCCTGGGTGACAAAGTTGACAGAGCTCACGGAGCTGAAGAACCTTTCAGAGTCACGGATTCTGCTGATATGAGCCATGTTACAGATGAGGACAGACCCAGAGGGGACAACACCTGAGCTGGGTCTCTGACCTTTCCCCGCCAGGAAATCCATCTGGAGTGAGTGCCCCGCTTTTCCGCCCACTCTGAATCGACTGGTTGTTTGAAGGAAGCAAAGGAAGGATTTCAGCTTTACGCAGACCCTGCATTTTGCCGGCAGAGCCGGGCTGGGCAGGAGGGAGCGGCTGTGGAGGCCTCCACAGAAGCGCTGCTTTTCTCCTTCCTTCTGTTCAGGGTTCCATCCCCCCTGCCCTGACTCCTCTGCTTCCCTCTCCCAACCAAACCCGAGCAGCTTTGAAGCCGAACTTTGGAAGGACAGGACAGGCCTGCTGCTGCCAGCGGCGCCCCAGAAAGCACGGCCTTCCCCCGGCCGGCCCGTGGGTCCCTGGAGGCTGTATCCTGACGCTGCTCCCAGTGGCCCCCTGGAGGCCGCCTGGCTGGTTACTCCCAAGGGATCTCCTGCCCATCCCTTTCCCTCCCCACACACTTGGCTGGCTCTGATTTGTGGTTCCAGCCTGTGCTCAGTGCGGGGACAGCAGATGGCGGGTCACAGAGGGGTGAGTCTGCCAAGTGCGCCCCAGGGGCCTGGCCCGATACAGGCCATTCTGCTCTCTGGAGCCCAGCTGGGCCTCCTGCTCCTCCAGCCACAGTGGCGGGGAGGAGCTGCTGCTGATGGTGGGAGCAGGCACAGCACAGACGAAGAGCACTGAATGGGATCGCGGAGTGGCGGATCTGAAGGAGGCCCCATCGCACGGGCAAGGTGTTACCACCCTCAAGGGCACTTGGACGCTCTGGGGAACCATGGTCTCTTCCACTCCTGGTCCCCTTTCCATGGCGGGACTGTCTCTGCAGAGAATGAGGTGCCCAGCTCAGTGCTGGGTGTGGCCCCAAGGCTCCAGCTCTGGAGAGGGAGGCAGAGAGACAGGGTTGAAAGCCGGAGCCAGGCAGTCCAGGAGGGCAGTGAGGAAATGAGTCGGGATTATCTCCATCAGAGCTGGCAGGGCTACAGGTGAGCAGATCGCCATTTTTCTCTGGAGAGGCATGCCCAGGCCCTCTGCTTCCTGACGGCTGGCAGGGCTACAGGTGAGCAGATCGCCATTTTTCTGTGGAGAGGCACGCCCAGGCCCTCTGCTTCCTGACGGCTGGCAGGGCTACAGGTGAGCAGATCGCCATTTTTCTGTGGAGAGACATGCCCAGGCCCTCTGCTTCCTGACGGCTGGCAGGGCAGCAGAGTGAGGCAGCTCCAGGGCAGTCAGGGGTCTACGACTGGAACAGCTGTGCTGAGTTACTGAGAGTGTAAAAGCAAACAAGACCTGGGCAGCCCCGGCTGGAGTTTTCTACAGAGGAAGGCTGTCTGCGTTGGGAGGGCTCGATCATTTCCCTCTAAGAAACAGAGAAGGCTCTTTGGAGGGTCTGCGGGCTTTGGCCCACGTCCTGCCCCTGCCAGCCACAGTCCTGGCTAGTGTTCCCTAAGGGTCTGCTCTGAGCCAGTTCCTCGGACGCACTGTCTCTAGTCCTTCCAACAGTCCTGTACGGAAGGGATCCCCATTTGACACAAAGTGGATCTCAGAGAAGCCAAGTGACACAGCTGGTGACCCGAAAGTCCATGCTTTTGCGGTGGCCTCGAGGCGGGTAGGAAGAAAGCTTCTTGGGAGGGAAGTGAGGGACGTTAGGGTCTTCTCTGACTTTACTCCCAAAGCCAGAGCAGACTGGGTTCCAGCGAGTCACCCCCTGCTAGGACAACTCGGCTGGTCGCAGCACCCCTCACACCCTGACAGCTGCTGACCAGCCCCCACTCATGACCTTGACTGGACAGAGAATGGGGAGCACCTTTCAGTATTCATCCCAGCAGGCCCAAGAGGCCAATGTGATCATCACATGGTTCCTAAGGGGCCGTAGGTCTAGGAATCATTAGGACCCCTCATTCACCCACCCCTGGTGCCCCCACTTCCCCCACAATAGCCTTGGCCCCCCTCATCTGCACTCCTGGAATATTTGCACTGGTCTAGGCCAGCCTGAGCCAAACTCATTAGGAACTCAAGATTCTTGTAAAGAAGGTTGTTTCCAAAGATGCCTTGTAGCTCTGTTGTTTGTGGGGACGAGGGGGAACCCTCCCGGGCCGGGGTCGGCGAATATGGGGAAAGGGAGAGTGCTGGAAACATTGAACTCGTGAGAGGTTAGACATTACAAGAATCTAAACGTGAGCAGTGACAGTCTGCTGCTGGATTACTGTGGTTTGTTGACTTACAAGTCCATCAGATGGAGAAGAGATGGCCAAATGGCTGGGCCTGAAGTAGGCAGAGCCCAGCAGGAGAGGACCTGCCCCCTGGAGGCAGGGATGGCCTGGACATCAAGGCTGCAGTCCACGTGGAGGCCGCACTGGCCCCCGGAACACTGGTTTGTTGTGGCTCCGAGTTCTGGAAAGTGTTAAATTGTGGGGCCAACGGATGTCTAAAGGAAGAGTGAATAGCAACAGAAATGACACGCTGAAGAAAATCCTCTTGGGCCCCACAGGGCGGTCCTGCCTCCCAGCAGGTGGGGTGTTGGGAAGGGCAGTCTGGGTATCTGCCTTAGGTATTAAGGGAACAGGCCACTTCCTAAAAGACCTGGATTCTACATTCCCCTTTAGGCAGAACCAGGAACAGAGGGCAGAGACGCTGAGGCTCCTGGTACATGGTGGCAGGTAGACACTATCCTTCAGTGCCAGCTCACCCGGCACTGTGTTTCAGCAGACTACGAGACACACCCCCACGGAGGTCTGGGCCTGACGACGTGCCCCAAACGTGCTGCCAGCCCTCCTGGCCTCAGCTGTTCCATCTATATGATGGGAAGATTCTGGGCGAGGGGAGGTTGATTGTGACGGACAGTAGCCTCACACTAGGTCCTTCACGCCCACTGGTATCATTTTTAAAAGCTCAAGGATAAATCCTGTAGAAATTCTATACTAAGTGACATTGTGAAAAGTGGGGTGTTCTCTTTCAGGACAGAGAGAGATTCTGGATACAATCCAAGTGGCCTGTCCCCTTAAGGGTGCAGCCAAGCCAGTCCTGGTCCAGGAAACGGGCATATTCCTGCAGGCAGAGCAGCCGGCAGCTGGGGTAGGAAAACACCCTCAGGGAGAGCAAACCAAAAACCCACCGCCTCCTGGAGGATTCCATCTCAGAGCAACCCTTCAGGACAGTACAACTGCCCTAAGCAGACTGCCATATCTTACTCCTGCAGAGCAGCTGGTGGGATGGAACTGCCGACCTTTCGCTTAGCAGCCGAGCACTTAACCACTGCACCACCAGGGCTCCTTCAGGGAGACCTAGGTCTGTGTAGACTTTGTGATACTGTCTCAAGGGAGGTTTCCTCTTCTGGGCCTTGGAATCTTGCATATGAGGTCCCTGGGACAAGCTGTTCAATGGCGGGCTCTGACAGAGAAGTAGTGACAGAGTGCTTGACGCACCTCCAGCCCAGCGCCAAGGCGCTCACCTGCCCAGGGAGGCCCTTCAGGACGGGCGGGCAGAGGCGCCCACTCCTCCGTCCCGAGTCAGTGCAGCTGGAGCTGTCCTGGACCTTCCAGCCCCACAGATTCCCCATCCTCCCTTCCCCACCCCAGTAACCAAGGCCTGAGGCTTCCTAACAATTCAGTCTTCGTTTTTATTTATGAGGAATGTATATCGTTAGTCACTGACACCAAGAGACACATAAAAGCAGAGTTAGAAAACTGGACTGCAGCCATCATGGTGCCCACGTCTACACGGGGGCTGCTCCCTATTCTGCTCTTGGAGTCACTACCAAGACCCCAAAAACCAACCGAGTCCCTTAAACATGAGTAAAGGAAACAGCTTCAAGCAGCGACAATTCTTACAAGTGATTATTCAAAGAATGCACAAGAGCCACAGTTCAGACAAATCAACTACAAAAAAATCATTAAAAAAAAAAAAAAAAGGAGGGGGCCAGCGTTTTAAAAACAAAGATTTGACAGAAGAGTGAGCAGAACCCTCCGGGCGGAGTTCTGCCTCCTCTGTCCTGTGTGACTTGGGTGCAGGGCCTGGCACAGGCTCACGTCCAGCAGACACGTGGAGCTCAGGGATGCGCTGCTCTCGGCCTACAGCAGACACAGAACACTGAAGTTTGCTAGACAAGGTGTGGGGGGCAAGTGCGGCTCTGATCTTTTGAGAGCACCTGTGCTCCTGGTTAGAGACGGCCGCTGGTCAGAGGCCTGCAGGTGATGCTGATACCCGAGACAACCGCAGGGACCAACCATTCCAAGGACCCCGCGGGTGAGAGCCCTCCAGTGTGCAGACCGAGGGGATGAGCTTTCTTCTGGCAGTTGGGAACCACAAGCCCTCTCTGCCCCAGATGCAGCGGCCAGGACTGACTGCTGTGCCCCTTCCATCCAGAGGACACTGTCTCGCTACCAGGTCCTCGGGACACTCTGGTGCTCTGCAAGGACATCCCTACTGTCTTCTAAAAACTTGCGTCCTCTCATTTGGGTTGATTTTTGGCCAGAGGAACAGAGGGTGTACAGCCACAGAGAATAGAAGCACCCATGTGGACGTTATCTACTGTCGAGGCGGTGGGACAGACAGATGGTTGAACTAGTCAGTAGTTTGCCAAGAGTCAGCAGGGTGGGGAGGGTTGGAAAACCATGTGGGGGGGGGGTGCGTGGCTCAGCACGTTCACGGGTGAAGATACTCTATCTACAGGAGACAGGCAGGTCAGGTCCCGGAGGGAGCAGAACCTCGGATGTTCTCTTGAACGTGCCTGGCTGACCTGGGCCCAGAGCCAGACTCCAGAGAGGCCGAAGGCTCTGACCAGGAGTCAACACCAGGTTGAGGTGGACAAAGGGCTTCACCTCACAGAGCTGGAGGACAACCTGCCCTTTGACCTGCAACTACTGCCTCCTCATATGCCAAGCCTAGAAAGATCCCGTAGCAGGCAGGGGAGAAGACCCTCCGTCTGTGCCCTGCCCACATACCAACTTCAGAATCCATCCGGCAAAACGAAAGCACTTGATCCATGGAAAAGTACGTCTGAATTTTAAATCTGTGCAGTTACGGGTTATTTGTAGAGGGCGAGAATCAACATCTACCACATTCTTTAAAAACTCCTGATTTACCCATGACTTAGCAGTCGCTTTCCCTTGGGACACTGTCAGGACAAACGTGGCAGGTGAACAGTGATCTGACCCAACGTGATTTCTTCCCTCATTTTTGCCAAGTCCTGATTATCTGAGTGGAGGTGATTTGCCCTCTAGGGTCTGTCCTGGGTTTTTTATGCCAGTTGGTGGGTCTGTGGCTCCACCCCCTCCAATGGCAGGGCAAAGTCCCAGGAACAATTTAGGAAGAGCAGCTGGCAGCTTGGCCAGAGTCCAAGGAATGTCTGTGCTCCCGGGGAAGTGGGGTGTGCCACCCCTGCAGGGAAAACTCAGCTGGTGCTTGGGCGGTTCCTCCTGCCCTGTCCGGCTGGTTCTGGGCGTCCCTGCTGCCTGGGGAAGGGTGCACTTCCTGAGCAGCAGGTCTCCCTGCCTCTTGGCCCCTCCCAGCAGGCTAAAGTGCAAGACCCAGAGCAGTCACCTCAGATTCCCATCGCACACCTCCACTGGCCAGGAAGGAGCTGGCTGCAGCCTGCAACCCCTGCCCTGCGGAGCGTTTCAGCAAACGCTGTAAGTTCACTTCTTTACCCTCCTCTAGGGTAGAGAAAGAGAAACTCAGGGATCCCAAGGAAGGAATCTCAGAAAGGGAAGAGGGAAGGAGAGGGGCCTGCACAGTCCACCAATGAAGCCCTCAGTCCCTGACGTGATTCGCACAGACCTGACTGGAACCTAATCAAGACCACGAGAGGTCAGTGTAGCAAACGCAAGCTGAGAGGAAATGGGGGAAAAAGAACCCCAAAAACCTTAAGAGGAAATGGCTGCAGATGCCCAGTGACTGCTTATCGTCTGGGTGAAAAGACAACCCCTTTGTCTCCCCTTAGGTCTCAGCCTCTGTGCTTGGGAGAGCAGAAGGGGGCCTGGCCAGACCCAGCTGGCAATCCCAAAGAAAGTGGGGGTAAACAGGAACCCGAAGTTCTCAGGATCAGCAATCCTGGTTCCATTAAAAAAAAAAAAAAAAGGGAAAAAAACCTTGACCGATGTGATGAGGAATGCTACGACCTGCCTCTCATCCCTGTGTGAACACCCCCAGCCAGCCAGTCCCGTCTCCTACTATACTGGGCAGAGATAAAAGTTCTTCTCCTCCTGGGGTTTGCTTATCCAATTCCCATAGCCCATGTCCTTCAGGCTGTGTTTGAAGTAGGTCTTGGCCATTTCGTAGTCACGGGCAGCTCTCTTGGCCTCACCATAGGAGAGTCTAAGTAGGTCCCTGCGGTAACGGAAGGAGCAGAGCTTCTTAAATAGAAGAAAAATGTTCTTTTTGGAGACCCGTGATAATTCATTCCGTGGCCTGGAGAAATCAAAGCACTCGTTATTCACCTGAGCCCAGGAAAGAGGGGAGCCCAAGGCGGAGAAACCATGGCCGGCGAGGTAGTCGGGCGGCTCGGCTTTGCTCCTTACCCGTCCACAGTGCCTCTGGTCCCATCCAGGATCTCCAGGTCGTAGCCGTCGGCCAAACACCAGTTGACGCTTGTCTCCTTAGTCTTCCCTGACTGCCTTTTGGAATCATATACACTGACCCGGCCAACCTAGAGACCCCAGGAGCAACGGGACAAAGACAGGAGCCTTTCAGAAGATGACTCAGAAGCAGGGACTCAAGGCTCACAGGGGGCAGAGTGCGGGGCCTCGATCTCTCCCCCTTTTGAGCATCCTGTTTGGCTAAGACTAAGCAGAATCTCGACTGCGAACCCCACCTCTATTCAAATTGATTCCAGACTTGGAGAAGGAAAGCTCTTGCCTTCCAGGAGGACGAAAGTTAAGTTCTCGGGACACCAGCCAAGGCCCCCCCTTGCCCACAGTGCACATTCTCCCCGCTGACAGGATGGCCTGAAAAGGTGAAAAAGGTCAAGGGAAAAACGGCTGGGGCTACCATACCTTGGGGTGGTTGACAATGAAGGGATGCCGCAGTCCATCCTCAAACGCCTTCCCGTCTCTCGTCACACGACAGCAGATGGCACGGGTCAGATGCCCTTGGCTGAAAAGGTAACCTGAGTACAAAAACGTATACACCTGTGCTTGCATCACACGCCGCTGAGAGGAACGGGGTGAGGTGGTTCGAAGGTACAAGACAGGCTCATCGGGACAGAGCGCCAGCGCCCCCGTGAGACCTGCTGACTGGCTACCCAGGTTCTCTACGGGGCCATCAAATACCGAAGCACACTATATAAGCGTCAAGGTCAGGCCAAGCACTGTGGAGAACAAGGACATTAAGACACTGCAGTTTCAAGCTGCTGGTTTAACTCGCCTCTCAAAGACTCGTCTGCCCTGTCTTTACTCAGGCTGGCTGCCGAGAGCCATCATCCTGCCACAGCATACTGGGCAGTCGCAATCAATGACCGTTGAGCCAGGCGCACTTTGAAAAGGGGAGACGTCCACTTAACGCCTGGCCACAGAGCGTGTCGTTTGCTGCTGGGATTTGGGCACTAGGAGGACAGACCAGTTCCAGCTCCCGAGGCACTCCACGTCCCTTACCCAGTGTGACAGATCTGAGATACACGGGCTGCAGGAAGTGGGTCAACAGCGCCCCTTGCAGGCCGAGCACGTTCCAGCGGAGGATCTTGTCACTACAGGACATGGTACGGAGTCTCTCCCCGAGCCGAATGCCATCCCACGTAGGCACGATGTCACTGGACTCCACCGGGATTGTGCCTTCCCCTGTGTCAGAGACTCGGGTCAGACCCCCAGGGGCCACTGGGCCAGACCACGCCTTGGTGGAGCATTTAACTCCTCAGACTTGGGCCACAGGCTATTCATTCATTCATTTGTTCTGCCTATATTCCAGAGCACCTACTCAGTGCTGGGCACTATGCTTGGTGCTGGGAAACAACAGTGAGCAAAAACAAGTAAGATCCAGTCCTCATGGAACATCTATGGGGTGAGGAGAGAGAAAGGGAACAGAACAGACACCGAACAAGTAAACGGATACAGATGCAAGAATTGTAGATGCAGCAGTGCTCTGAAGGCTTCCAGGGAGCTATGGCGGACAGCAGAGGAACCCAGTGAGATAGTCCGGGGAGCTGAGACATGCAGGAGGAGACGGAGCAGCCGGAATAAGAGAGTTCCAGACAGAGAGACAGCAAAAGCAAAGGCCCTGGGGCAGCAAGGGGGAACTGACAAAGGCCAGGCATGAGTGATGGGGAGAGCAGCATGGGATGAGGCTGGGCGTCAGGTCTGGCTTTTATGTGAAGTGCAGTGGAAAGCCACTCTAGGGTTTGTTTTTTTTTTTAAACAAATCTTTATTAATATATGTTACATTCCATACAATTCATCATTGAAAGTGTACAACTGAATGATTTTTAGAATATTCAGAGTTGTGCGACCATCATCCCAATCAATTTCAGAACATCTCATCACCCCAAACAGAAATCTCGTACCCGCCAGCCGTCAGTCCCCACTCCTCCCTGACTCCCCCAGCCTCTGACCCCTGGCGGCCACTCATCTGCTTTCTGTCTCTCTGGATTTGTCTGTCGTGGGCATTTCACAGAAACGGAATCATGTAAACACGACCTTCTGTGTCTGCTTCTTTCACTCAGCACGACTGTCTACGATGTAGCGTGTATCAGTACCTCACTGCTTCTTAGGACTAACAGTCCGCTGGATGGAGAGGCCACATTTGGTCCATCCACTCATCAGTGAACGGACACTGGGGTTGTTACCACTTTCTGGGTATCATGAATAATGTCGCTGTGAGCATACGTTTACTAGTTTTTTTGTGGACGTACGTCGTCAGTTCTCTTGGGTGTGTACCTAGGAATGCAGAGCTGGGTCATATGGTAACTGTGTTTACGCTACAGGGTCTGAGCACAGGAGTGACATGATCTGATGTATGCTCAGGATGGTGCTGATGACCGCTGAGGGGACAGGAGGGGACGTGAGGAGACAGTAAGGAGGCATTAGAGGACAGTGGCGGGGAAGGAGCTGGTGGACGAGGAGTAGAACCAGCTGTCAGTCAGATGGGAGGGGGACCGGGCCCTCGGGGTCCTTCTCTGCCCACTCCTCAGGGCCTGGTTCTGCATCATTTTCTTCTCGTTTTCTCCCTCCTCCCGCCCCCGGGTGACACACCCACTGCCATGGCTGTGAAGCCCATCTACGGGACGATGACTCTCAGTTTATCTCCAGCCAGGCTCTCCCCTCGGAGCTGACACGGGCACCTCCACCTCCAATGGGATGTGAAGAGCTCCCAGGTCTCCCAAAGGAACAAATTCATGACGGGACCTCAGCCTTCCTATAGCCCCCCGACGAGATGTGCCCGTCCCCTGTAAACAACACTCTCCTATCCCAGGCACGAATGGCAAAACCCAGCAATCATACCCTTGTCCCTGGGAGTGGCCTGCGGCCTTGCAGAGCCCCTGGTGCAAAGGGTGAGGACGTGTGCCACTCACCGTTCTCCACCTTGGTGCGGAGCTTGCCTTGTTTGGGATTCTCAAAGACAGGGTAGTGGCGGGAATCTGTGCTTTCCACAGCACGGTCACTGCAGGACTTGTCAAAGAGGGCACCGTCTCCACACGGGGCCGTGCTGCAAGAGGGACATCTGTTACTATTCACCTGGGCAGACATTCCCCTTCAGTCTCCGGGGACGCAGGAACAGTCACACGTGGGAGAACCACGGGACCTTTCCTGAAACCTGCCACGGGGTGCTGGAGGGGGGTGGAAGGGTACGAGAGTCACCCTACACCGCGCACACCCGTCAATCCCAACTCACAGCAAACCTAGAGGACAGGACAGAGTACAACTGCCCCGTGGGGTTTCCAAGGAGCGGGTGGTGGATTCCAACTGCCTACCTCTTGGTTAGCAGCTGAGCTCTTAACCACTGGGCCACCAGGGCTCCACCAGGGTACGTATCTCAAACTCTGAGTTGAGTGTGGCCTATCGAATAAGGTCGGATTTTGGGGCAATGAGAGTTTGTCTCTACCCAACCCTGGGGGCCCGGAGCCAGCGCCGGCACAGCGGGACAGTACAGACCTGATGTAGAGGTGGAACGACACCGTCTTTTTTATCTGGAGCTTTTCTCCTCCCTTCGCAAGCTCAAATATACTATCCTTTGCGGTCTGGGAGTTGTATTTCATTAACTCGCTGTAGAGAAACCTAGGAAAACAAAGTCTGCTTAAGAAGGCGGGTTCAGGTCTGGGCGAAGTGCTGTCTACGATCTGATCTCCACCCGAGCCTAACTAAGGAAAAGGTCTCTCATGGTTTCTCGGGTTGAAAGCAGCACAGGGTGGTGGGAAATTCTCCATGGGAGACGCTACATTTCACAAAGCGCAGCTAGCTTTTCTGGTCGGTTTCGTTTCCACCCAGGGCGCCTCGCTGTGGCAGCTACAGGGCATCAGGACGGCAAACGTGGGCTCGAGGACTACACAGGGCTGTTGCTTCTCCGAGTCTCTCCCTTCATGAAGGAAAGGTGACGTGGAGGAGAAAGCGGGCAGGGCCTCAAGTGGAGACTGAAGGCTGCCTCACCCCCGAGGCCCTCAGGACCCAGAGGTCATTCTGCGTTGTTCAAAAAGGGCGTGAAGCCGAGCTGGCTGGAGCGCCCTGCAAAACAGGCTGAGCAGGTGGAGACAGCCTGGGTCACAGGGGAATCGATCCCACAAGGCAGGCTCAGATGGACGGGCTGAGGGCCAAGGCCAGCCCTGTGGGATCACCACCTGCCGGCTGTGGTGGGGCCCGTGGTGGCCGCGGGGTCCTGAGTAGCAGGAAAGAGGGCAGAGAGGCAGTTGGCTCACCTGATGAAGCCTCTCCGGGAGATGATTTCTGCATGGCAGTCATTGACGGTTTCTCCCTTTAGGCTTAGAGAATCTCCTTTCACACAACGGTTCCCTGGGAGAGGGTTAAAGCAAATGTAAAATCGCCAAAGGAGATGTGACGAACAGGGTAAACGCTGTTTGTTCTTAAGGCCTGAAGGCAGACACAGGCTCCCATTTTCAGCTTTGACTCTTACGTTCTCTTCCCCAGGAAACGAGAACCCATTCCCCACTCTGAATTAACCGCAGCTAAGATGAAATGTAAGATTTGTTTTCTCCCCACCTTTGACTTGCTCACACCAGATGGCAGGGGAGAAGGAGAAAGGCCCGCTTCCAGGCACCGTGGGGACCGCTGGCCAGGGGAGCGGGTTTCAGAGCTTTGCTTACCTGTGCCCAAGCTGACCACGACACCCAGGTCTTCGGGGTCTTTCTTCATGATGATGGCAGCCAGGATCTTGCGGCCGAGCAAGGAGGGCTGGAAGCTGTTAGTAAGGGCATTGAAGCAGCGGTGGCTCAGCATAGCTATCTGGTCATGGAAGGTGCTACCAGTGAGAGGAAGCTGTGGGGACAGGAGGCCACGTCAGCACCACGGACCCCGATCTACGTCCACTGGACTTCAGAGGGGGCAGGGAGGCCGCACTCTGCTTGACTGGCGGGTCATCTTTTCCCCTCACATCTAATCCCATTGTACGTTCTACTGAGGCTAACATGAAAGCCAGGGAGTAAGTCACGACAGCAAGAGCTGACTTCACCCAGAGGGGAGTAGGCAGGACACCCCGAAAAAAGAGAGCACCAAAAGTAGACGTCTTAACTGTCTTTGGCTGTGCTTCTGGGGACCTTGAGAGGAGAAGCAAAGTTCTTCTGAGACCGGCCCCTGTCACTGGGGTTACCTCTGTGAAACCCATGCGCTCTGCCTTCTCGTTCTCCCCAATCAAGACGCGGAGGGCCGCATCTGCTGCTTCCTGCTTGCCTTGCTTCTTGCTGTGGGCGCAGACGGCTGGGAACCAGCGACCCCCAACTTTGGCTTGGTAAACGAACCTTTGGGATGAGAAGCAGGGGGTGAAGACAAGCACCAGCGCTGGACGCCTTTTCCAGGGAAGGGCTAGGCTGGCTTACGATGGGGCCAATCTTGCAAACAGATGGACCCCCCGACTCTTCACAGCTGTTTCTAATGTCACTCATGAATCGCAAGATGATCTGTGCTAGATCCAGAGATCACCTGCACCATTACCAAGGATTCTTTTAAAACGTAAACACATTTAAAAAACAAACTTTACATCATTCTGTAAATGGAAAACATAAATTGCAGGTGACTGGAAAACAATATGATAAAATCACGTTACTGAATCTAGCTAGATAGTGTCACCCGCAGAGGCTCTGGGACTTCTCTTTATTATGAAGGAAGACGAGCGAGCACTAGAGAGGTTTAAAGAAGCTCTGGCACCAAACCTAGACTTTCTTCTTCTTTTTTATTGCTGTGCTTTAAGTCGAAGTTTACAATTCAAGTTAGTCTCTCATATAAAAATTTATACATACATTGTTATGTGACCCTAACTGCTCTACCTATACTGTGACAGCACACTCCTCTTTTCTGCCCCCGATTTCCCGTATCCATTCAACCAGCTCCTGACCCTCTCTGCCTTCCGATCTCACCTCCAGATGGATTTTCTTAAGCAGAAATGAGAAGGGAGTTAAGTTTCTCCCCGTGGGAGTCCATGTCATTTAACGCCCTGCCTGATTTTTCAAGTTTCTGATTCTCTTTCTTCATTTACTTCCTGATTAGATCAAAAGGACTTAACCTAGAGAGACCAGAATGTCAAGGTCGGCCTCAGACCAGGGAACCGAGCTTTCACGAGGAGGCGGTTTTCAATTCCTGGAAGGCTCGCCATGGACGTGGGTGATGTGAGTGCACTCCTGGGCCCACGAGCTCTGCTGATGGGCAAGGGCATGGTGGTACAGGGAGTGGGCAGTGCCGCCAGCTGGGCCGACTCCTGCTGGGGACTTCCACAAGCCGAGAGAGAGCATGGTGCAGCGAAATGGCTTAGAAATCTCCCAGACGAGGTTTTGAGAATCCTAGCTTTCAACCAGATCCTCATCGAGGGCTGGGGAATCCAGCTTTGGATAATCTGACTGCCTGTGACTGAGGCTTCAGTATCAAGATTTATCAGCTCAGGCAATAAAAGGAATGACTCTTTATGTCCAGCCACACCAAGCTTCTCACTGTCCCTGACCATCCTGAAGCTGAATGCCTTTACTCCTTTCTCTGCCTGAGCGGCCAGGTTTGTGCAGGCCACTGGCTGCCATTCAGTGAATGAGACCAAAAACCAAGCCCGCTGCCGTTGAGTCGATTCCAACTCACAGCAACCCTATAGGACAGAGCAGAACTGCCCCATGGGACTTCCAAGGAGCACCTGGTGGATTTGAACCGCTGACCTTTTGGTTAGCAGCCATAGCTCTTCACCACTACACCACCAGGGTTTCCTCAGTGAATGAGAGGGAGGGGGTATTAATAGAGGTTGAGAGGGGCTAGGGGCCAAACTGTGTAGGATCTTTGCCTGGGGGATCCAGGATAATTTCATGTGTTTGAAAAGAACATGAACTCTTGTGTACAAAGTTTATATGTCTCTCTCTAGATATGTATCTATCACACACATATGATAAAATTTGTTAGTTATACAATTAGGATCCCTTAGATTCTACCATGCTGTCCAATGTGGTAGCCACTAGCCACAGGAAGTTACTGAATTTTAAATAATAAAAATTAAATACGGTAATTCAGTTGCTCAGGTGCACTGGTCACATTTCAAGGGCTCAATATCCACATATGGGCTGGTGGTTCCTGTACCGGACAGAGCAGATGCAGAACGTTTCCATCATCGCAGGAAGTTCTATGGTACAAGCTACTCTGTACTACAGACTCTACACTATAGACGACGCCGTCTCTGTCACAGCACACTCACATTCTGAGCGAGGTAATTCTTGGCTGTGGAGGGCTGTCCTGTGCACCGCAGGATGTTCAACAGCATCCTTGGCTTCTACCCACTGGATGCCACTAGCACCTCCCAGCTGACAGCCAAAAACGTCTCCAAACCAAAACCCAAGCCCGTTGCTCTTCAGTCAGTTCTGACTCACAGCAACCCTACAGGCTGTACAGGACAGAGCAGAACTGGCCCATAGGGTTTCCAAGGCTGCAAGCTTTATGGAAGCAGACTGCCACACATCTTTCTCCCACGGAGCGGCTGGTGGGTTCAAACTGCTGACCTTTCTGTTAGCAGCCGAGTGCTTAACCACTGTGCCACCAGGGCTCCTATGAATAACGTTACTTACTATTAAAGAAAGACAATTTAAAATAATGAGATACCATTTTCTATAAGCTTTCGTCCTTAATGACTTTTTAACACTGAAGGCAGGATACACACAAGTAAGAACTCTAACAGTTAAAAGTATATGCATGTATGTAGGCATATATGCGTACAGGTGTGGCTGTTAGGGGTCGCTGAGTTGGTTCTGACTCATAGCAACCCTACGTACAACAGAAATGAAACACTGCCTAATCCTGCACCATCCTCACAATCCTTGTTATGCCTGAGCCCACTGTTGCAGCCACTGTGTCAATCCATCTCGTTGAGGGTCTTCCTCTTTTTCGTGGACTCTCCGCTTTACCAAGCATGATGTCCTTCTCCAGGGACTGGTCCCTCCTGATAACATGTCCAGTGTACATGAGATGAATACATATGTATATGCATCTACGTCACTGTATACACATATATTCGTATATATAATAAAGCACACAGGGGGCACAGTCATAGTATTTCTTAGACCTAACCAAACACTTTGTGTGATTGGATTTCTGGGTTTGAAGGACTGGGACCATAGTCTCGGGGGACATCTTGGTCAACTGGCATGATATAGTTCATAAAGTTACGTTCTACATCCTAATTTGGTGAGCAACAGGAGCCCTGGTGGTGCAGTGGTTAAGCGTTCAGCTGCTAACCAAAAGTTCAGTAGTTTGAATCCACCAGCCACTCCTTGGAAACCCTATGGGGCAGTTCTACTCTGTCCTATAGGGTTGCTATGAGCTGGAATCGACTCAATGGCAACAGGTTTGGTTTTGGTCTGGGGTCTTAAAAGCTTTCAAGCGGCCATCTAAGATACAACTATTGTTCTCTGCTCATCAGAAGAAACTAGTCTACAGAACAAACAGTCTACACGAACCACGGCCTCATCTACCCTGAGACCAGAAGAACTAGATGGTGCCCAGCTACCACCACCTACCATTCTAATCAGGGCCACAATAGATGGACCCTGATAGAATGGGAGAAAAATGTGGAACAGAACCTCAAATTCCTTAAAAAAAAAAAAAAAACCCAAAACAAGACCTAGTGGACTGGTTGAGACTGGAGGGCTCCCTGAGACCACAGCCTTGAGATATTCTTCAAACCTTGAACCACAACTAACCCGAGGTCATCTTGTAGCTAAAAGACTGGCTCAAAAAATACTGAATATCACCCATAAATACTGTGCTCCTTTAAATAATCACATATATGAAACCAAACAGCCAACAATTACTTTAAAACAAAGATGAGAATGTAAGGGGGCGAGGAAACTAAATTAATGGAAATGGAACAATCAGAATGGAAACAATGAGAATGTCCACGCATTCTGAAGAACGTAACCAACATCACTGGACAACTTGTGTAGAAACTGAATGGGAACCTAAACTGCTGTGTAAACTTTCACCAAAAACACAATAAGATATTATTAAAAAAAAAAAGTGGCCCTCCTTCCCAGAAGCAAACACTGTTAAATTTTTTCTTTTTTTGATCCTTTAAGAAAATAATCCGTGCATACACGTTGTTGCTATTGTTAGGTTCTGTTGAGTCAGTTCCGACTCATAGTGACCTTATGTACAACAGAACGAAATACTGTCCAGTCTTGTGCCATCCTCACAATCGTTACTATTTTTAAGCTCATTGTTGCAGCTACTGTGTCAATCCATCTCACTGAGGGTCTTCCTCTTTTTCACTGACCCTCTACTTTACCAAGCATGATGTCCTTCTCCAGGGACTGGTCCCTCCTGATAACATGTCCAAAGTATGTGAGAAGTAGTCTTGCCATCCTCGCTTCTAAGGAGCATTCTCGCTGTACTTCTTCCAAGATGGATTTGTTCATTCTTCTGGTAGTCCATGGTATATTCAATATCCTTCACCAAAACAATAAATTCAAAGGCATCAATTCTTTTTCGGTTTTCCTTATTCATTGCCCAGCTTTCACATGCATATGAGGCAACTGAAAACACCATGGCTTGGGTCAGGCACCCCTTAGTCCTCAAAGTGACATCTTTGCTTTTTAACACTTTAAAAAGGTCTTTTGCAGCTGATCTGCCCAATGCAGTATGTCATTTTATTTCTTGGCTGCTGCTTCCATGGGTGCTGATTGTGGATCCAAGTAAATGAAATCCTTGACAACTCTGATCTTCTGTTTATCATGATGTTGCTTATTGGTACAGTTGTGAAAAGTTCTGTTTTCTTTATATTGAGGTGTAATCCATACTGAAGGCTGCAGTCCTTGATCTTCATCAGTAATGCTTCAAGTCCTCTTCACTTCCTGCATATCGCAGGTTGTTAATGAGTCTTCCTCCAATTTTGATGCCATGTTCTTCGTCAGCCAATGATCTGCTGCTATTCATAAGGTTTTCACTGTCCAATTTTTTTAGAAGTAGATTGCCAGATCCTTCTTCCTGGTATGTCTTAGTCTGGAAGCTCCACTGAAACCCATCCACCATGGGTGACCCTGCTGGTATTTGAAATACTGGTAGCATAGCTTCTAGCATCACAGCAACATTCAAGCTATCACAGTACGACAAGCTGATGGATGAGTGGTGGGTGCATATATAAGCACATTATTTATTAAGCCCCTGACTCATGATGATCCCATGTGCAACATAACGAAATGCTGCCTGATCATCCCCATGATCGGTTCTAGATCTGACAGTTGTGATCCACAGAGTTTTCATTGGCTGATTTTTGGAGGTAGATTGTTAGGCCTTTCTTCCTAGTCCATCTTAGTCTGGAAGCTCTGCTGAAACCTGTTCAGCATCATAGTAACAAGCAAGCCTCCACTGACAGATAAGTGGTGGCTGCACTGGCCGGGAACTGAACCCAGGTCTCCAGCATGAGAGGAGAGATTTCTATCACTGAACCACAATGCCCTTTTTCTTTTTCACTTAGCAATATACCTCAGAGATCATTTCATACAGATGTATCTTATTCTTTCTAATAGCTACATGGCATTCCTTCGTGTGGATGCACAACTTACTTAACTAGTCTGCAAATGGTGTGTGTGTGTGAGTGAGAGAGAGAGAATTCCTAGAGGTGGCATTGGTGGGTTGAGGGCAATACTTAGATGATGTACTACATCACCGTTGCTGTAAGTACACTGTCAAAATGTAAATTTAATTTACAAAGTAAAGTTGAGAACCTTTCATTAGTAATTTATTATATTTCTTTTGCTGTGATAGTTCATATACTTTGCCTATTTTTCTATCAGATCTGAAAAGAACCCCTTTTCTATTAAAGAAATCAGCCCCTGGGCTGCTGCACATTGCAAATGTTTTTTTCTCAGGGGGTCATTTTACCAGAGACAACTTTTTCATATAATCAGATTTGCCGGTTTTTACCTTCTGTGATTTATGGATTGAACTGTGTCCCCCAAAAATATGTGTTGTAAATCCTAACCCCTATACATGTGGACACAACAACAACAAAACCAAATTAGGAACAGGTTTTCTCTGTTACGTTAATGAGGCCACATAAGTGCAGAGCAGGTTTTAAGCCAGTCACTCGAGATATAAAGGGAGCAGATTAGGCACAGAAGCAAGGAAGCACAGATGTGGGGAGACAGATTCATGCCACACGACAATTGTCAAGGATCCAAGGAACAGAACTGAAAAGAGACAGACCTTCCCAGACCTGATCGAGAGCGAGCTTGCCCCTAGAACCAGTGTCCTGAATTTGGACTTGTGGTCTCCGTAACTGTGAGAAAACAACCCACCCACCTGTGGCATTTCTGTTACAGCACCACTAGGTCATTAAGACTGTGACTACGCTTTGTGTCTTGATTAGAAAGGCTGCTGCTACTCCAAGATTCTAGAAGTTCCCACTTTTTAGCTAGTGATGTTAGGATTTCATTTATTTTACATTTAAATCCTACACGCACTGGAATTTAGGTGTAGGGAAGGAGGTGAATACCCAGCTTTAGTTAGTCAGTTACCTGAACAGTCGGCAGTCCCAACACCATTACTGAATAACCCACCACCTCCCCACTGATCTGAAACCTCACCGACATTGTTCACATCTACCTCTACTTTCAGGTGCTCCATTCTGCTCCACCAATTTGCCCGTCTATCTATACGCCAGGACAACACTGTTTCAACATCTGTTAGGATCAATACCCCTTCCTACTTTTCTTTTTCACAATTTTCCTAGCTATTCCTGCATCTTTTTCATTTAAATTTCAGAATCAAGCCTTCTAGTTCCAGAATAAATCCTATTTGTGTTTTTACCAGGATTACATTAAATGTATAGATTAATCTGGGCACAGCAGCTTTCTTTAAAAATCTAATAACAGTTTTTTTCCCCCTGCATTTAATCAAGTTTTCCTTTATATCCTTCACTAGTATTTTACTTAATGTGGATCCCACTAGTCCCATTAGGACCGTGCCTAGGTTATCTTTTCAGTTGCTCCCGTAAACAGGATATTTTCTTCCATTACATTTTCTAATTGCTTACTGCTGTGTACAGAGAAGCTCTTGATTCTTATACGTTATTTTGCAATCTTCCACTTTCCTAAGATCTCCTTTGTCTCTAATACATCTTCAGTTTTTCTCGTAAGTATTCCCGGTATACAATCGTGGCATCTACAGATAACGATACCTTCACCTCCTCTTTCCTCTTCTTACACTTATTTCTTCTCTTGGCTGATTACATTGCTAGAAATTCCAGAATAATTTAAGTAATGATGACGCTGGCATCCTCATCTTCCTCCTGACTTGAATGGGAACATTCTACGTTCACCATTAAGCAAACTGCGGGCTTTTGACTTCAGACGTGTTATTTCTATCATGCTAGGAGGTGTACAGCAATTTCTATTTTATGAACAGTTTGGTTTTGTAATCTGAATGCATGTTGAATTTTACTAAGTGCCTTTTTGGAATTTCTGGAGATGATCGTGTGATTTTTCTCCTTTGATCTTTTAATATGGTAAATAATAAATATCCCAATGCAGACTCAGCTTTGCACGGTGCTGAGATACTGTTTCACATTTTAGAATGGCAAAGATGAACGTTTGGATAATGTTTATGAACGGTTTGCTAGGGTGCAGGGGTAGAGTCATTCTTACGTATTGTTGGTGGAAGCATGAACTTCTGCAGTTCCAGTGGAGAAAAACCAGGGAACACTGACCCTAACTTTAAATGCACACGGACATGTTATTCACTGCAGCACTGTTTATAACAGCGAAAGTCTGGAAATAATCCCAGGGTGCATCACTAGTGACTGGGTACATGAATCATGATAAACCCATGCTCTGGGACTCTCTACGGCTATACAAAAAGAATACAAGTGATAGGGAAAGCTCTCCAAGATAATATTGTTAAGTGAAAAAAAGCAAGCTATCGATCAAGGTACATATTATGTATCTTCTACATAAAACACGGAAACCCTGGTGGCGTAGTGGTTATGAGTTTGGCTGCTAACCAAAAGGTTGCCAGTTCGAATCCACCAGGTCCTCCTCAGAAAACCTGTGGGGCAGTTCTACTCTGTCCTATAAGGTTGCTATGAGTCGGAATCGACTCGATGGCAATGGGTTTGGGTTTTTTGGTGTAAAAAATGGCAAATACACTTGCTTGTATTTATATAAAGACACTCTGGAAGGATTTATGATAAATGATGTAAAGTTACTGGCATGCTAGTTCGTGTGTCTGTGTGTGTGTGTGGGGGGTGAGAGCTAGGTCAAAGGGAGACTGAGTATGAGCTATGTCTTTTTTATTTTTAAACCGTTAGTCTATTATCTATATAAAAAATTTTAACACTTTAAAAAAGTGCACATAACCCATGGCCCAGAAATTTCACTCTGAAAATGTATACTGCAGACAATGCTGCGCGTGTAAGCAGAGAAATACAGTACAAGGAGAATCACAGCAGATGTGCTTCTAATAACCAAACCGGCTTGTGGATTCGAACTGCCAACCTTCTGGTTAGCAGCCAAGCTCTTCACCACTGTGCCACGAGGGCTTCCGTTTCTAATAGCAAGACCAAAAACAAGTTAAATGTCAGTGAAGTATTTTAATAAATTATGCAAAGCGGGGAACTTAAAAGAAAACGTTAACATTCTATTTCTTAAACTGGGCGGTAGGTACATGGGTGTCTGTTTTAGCAAAGATCTTTTCTATCTCGTGTAAGAAAAACAATTTTTAAATTGTAAGCATTCATTCACCTGAACATGTACCTGTGCAAAAGAATAACAATCTCTAAGACACCTTGGTAAGCACAGGAGTCAAGGTGGAGAGAAGGTATAATATATACTTATTTTTGTTACAAAAACAAAGAAATGAAAATGCATTAGTATATGCATGGAAGTTTCTAGGAGGACTCAAGAAGCTGGTAACAGTACACAGGTCTGGGGAAGAAACTACAGTTCTAGGGTAGAAATGAGACGTCTCACTGTATGCTTTTTCAATTAGCTTGAATGATTTTCCACATATATAGATCCCTTTTAAAATTAAAGTTCGTTGAAAAAAAAAAACTCTAGAAAGGCTCATGTTCACTGGAAGAGGGACTGTACTCTCCAGATGGCTGATCTAGTGTCTGAGGGAGGCCATGGGGACAGGCTGAACTTGTTTCCTTGAACATGCCCCTCCTGTCACTCACAGCTAATGCGCATCCTTCCTTTCCCTGGGTGACGGGACGTCCCCACCCTGTGACACCCAGCCATAGCCAAGAGTAGGGCACTCACTTGGGCTCATGAGGAGGTCCGGACTGGTCGACCAACTTGAACTCAGCAGCAAAGCCATGGGAGCGGGCATACTCCAACAGGCCGCCCACGGGGTTGGTGTTCAGGTATCGGACGAGCTCGCCGATCCTCCTGACCTTGCTGGGCATTATAGATTCCAAGTTATCCAGTGATTCCGTGTTTGCACCTCCGGGCTAAAGGAGAATTAGCCAAACAAAGAGGAACCATAAATACTCAAGGCATCTCTGAGGGGACCAGACCTCGGCACTCATGAGCAAACCTAAGCCACTGAGTTCTACAAACGACCTGTATCTTGGGAGCAGGAAAATGACCCACCTGGTCATCAGAAGGTGTCGAGTTGGTTGCCTCCCCATGGAGGGCCTTCATGGCTTCCTCTGCGGCCATCTGCTTTGCCACTTTCTTGCTGGGGGCACTTGCCGTGGGGAAAGTATGGGGTCCCATTGCGACACAGTACTGAAACCTAACAGGAGGGGAAGGGCAGTGGGAGGATGAGAATGGTTTTGGTAAGAGATTAACCTAGCCTTGGTCAGCTCGTCATCCTTCACTTCTTGTAATTTCCCTGCACACATCACCTCTGTGCCCTGGCTCGTGCGGTCACATCTGCCCCTTCACCCACCTCCCACTGCCTGTCTCTCCTGGCCAAGCTAACCCCAATTCAGCATTTCAGTACCAGCCTCGTTTCACCCTGTCCAAAGACCCTTCTCTTGAACATGTAAGTCTGTGGAGCCTCAGAGCAGAAAGCTTCTTAGGTATGCCCAGGTCTTTGTAGCCTCCAAACCGTGTACCTCTCTGTGCTTGGTCCCCGCTTGGCCCTCTGAATTCCCAGTTCCAGATTCTCTGCCCCACAGCAGTGACGATACCCCCAAGACCCCCATTCTTCCCACACTGAAAACAGTGAAATAATCTGCCATCTCTGAGGAGGCAGGGAGGAAAGTGTACTTCTCTATCTCTCTTGTTTCTGAGAAAACCAGAGCAGAGACATACTTGGGGTCATGGGCAGGGCCTTCCCTGGACAGGAGGCGGAATTCACAGGAGCTCCCCAACTTGTGCACACACTCAAGCAATGTAGTGACGGGGTTCTTCCCAGAAAATAAGGATGTCGCTGAAGGGGTGGTGGGCTGGGACTCAGCAGTCTGGAGGAAATGAGAGACATGAAGAAGAAGGAAAACAACCCAAAAACCTAAGAAGAGACGGGCCAGCCCGCCACCGAGGGGTTAGGGATGGGCTTTCCAAAGGGCAGCTGGATGTTTTCTAGTGACTGCAGGAAAAGGTCAGTTATCTCAATTTTCCAGGTCTCACTTCTTACCTAAGAAAGAAGACTGAAGTTGATAATCTTTAAGGTCCCTTTCAATTCTGAAATTCCTGAATTCCAACTAGGCTGGGGGGTGGATGGGGAAAGGGAGGGCTGGGGATGAGAAGAGGAAAGGTGGGCTGGTCAGGGAGTAGAGGGAAGAGAAGAAGCTGACCCCAGGTACCTTAACAGTTGTTTAAACCTGACGGGACAGTGGAGACTGCCCCACAGGGGTTCCAAGCAGCGGCTGGTGGATTCAAAATGCCAACCTTTTGGTTAGCAGCCGAGCTCTTAACCACTGCGCCACCAGGGCTTCTAGTAGTTGTTCAGGGCAGTTAAAATCCCGGTAGGTCACAGACCCGGCAGGCGGCACACCTACCCTCTCAGACCCCTTCTCCGGGGAGCAGTGGTATGAGTCCTCCGACCTCCCGCCGTCCTTGGCTCTGGCTTCCTCCAGCAGGACGGTCATGGCCTTCATTGCTGCATCCTGCTTGGCCACCTTCTTGCTGCCCGCTTCAGCTGGGGGAAACTCTCGGCCACTGATGACAACCTGGAATTTAAATCTTGGTGGAAAATGATTAGATGTGTGAACACTAGTCTAGGCCATCCCTCCTCCCTTTCTCCAGAGAGACCCTCACCCTGGAATTTTCTGCTGTGGTAAGGGGCTTCGGACTTGTTGAGGAAGTGAGGGGTAGGACGAAGGACTCCTGCCTCTTTGAAGGCTCAGCCTGTCCCTTCTTTAGGGAAACAGAGCAAGAAGTTGACTCTCTCCCTACGGCTCATTAGAACAAACAGCCACAGGTGACAGCTCAGGGGAGCCCACGATCTCTTAGCAAGGAATTAAGATAAAGTCTGTACAAATACTGAGCTAAAATCACCATCATAATATTGTTAGCAACCAGAAGGCCCGCATCCTTAAGCAACAGTGGTCACCTCACGGGAAGTTCCTAAATGAAAGGGAAGGTTTCTTGCAGCCCAGTCTCACACTCCCCAGATACCTACAGGGATCGCACAGATGCCCGCCACTGACCAGGGGCCTGTTTTTGTCCCCCGCCTACCCTCAGAGATACACCACTCTCATCACTTGTTCTCAGTCATTCTATAGCTCTTTGTCCCTAGTCCAGGATGAAAGAAACTCTCCCTTGTTATTTAGAAAACCAAAAAGCATTTTCTCCAGATTTCTCAACTTAGCATAGGCCCTCTGTGTTCGAGCTTTCACACATGTTCAGCTCCTAGCTCAGTCTGCGATTTCGTTTAGAAAAGTAGGCCAACTTCCTCATTTGCTATGTCTTCTGAAATGTCTGAACATGGCTCCGATGTTTCTCAGAGCTGGAGTCCATTAGCCACAAACTCCACACTCTCCCCCAACTCTGGGGAGGGGGGGATGGAGGCAAAGAAAGAGGATGGTCAACCAGTCTGTCTGCCCCAAACGGAAACAAGTAAGTCTTGCCCTGTCAGCTTTGGGACACCACGTCTCCTACAGTTCTCCTGAAATGCCATCTGGTGTCATTAAGATGGTGCAGACAAGGAATAAGGCCACAGGTGGTAACGCTTACCCCTAGAGCCAGCCTACCACAAAGGGTGGAAGAACCCTCTCCCTGCCTCACTGGCTCTTTCTTTAGCTGCTACTTGTAGCCACTCAGCTCCTGTGGTTTCAGCCCTCTGCTAGGTCCTTCAGGGCCTCCTGGGCCTACCTGTCTTCCTCAATCTGTCCACTAGCCCGTAGGACCCTATGGTGCAGGGCCCAGCCAGCTGTCTGAGTGAGGTGGTCTCTGATTCCACAGCTCAGGAGCAGCAGCAAGTGCTAGCCCGCCCACCCGTGCAGGGGAGGTGTGTAAAATTAGAACCACCACCTTCAACAGGAAGGCAGCCGCTCACTCTACCTCATCCTCTCTCTATAGGAGCTGGGGGGCGGGGGGCCGTGGACCTGCCGCTGCCTAGCAGCACACACCACCCTCACTCCTGTGCACAGCCTGCCCCAGCCCACCTGCTCCTGAACCTCTCTGCAGAACTGACTTACCCTGGGGTGTGGGGGCGGACGGTCCAGGGCAAGGGGAAGGAGGGAATCGAGGCGTCATTACCTCTGACCTCAGGAGGCAGGCCTGATGCTGATGCACGAAAGCTAATCATTTCTAAAGAAGCTCTGTTTTAGCCATCAGAGCTGACCCTTGCTCAGCCACGATCATGGCTGGTCTGAGGTCTACATCCCAGGCTCAAGATCTACAGAAGGAGCCAATCAAGCTTGATTAGCCACATGGCAGAGAGGAGGTGGGGAAAGACAGGGGCCTCAGCAGCACGCTCACCAGTCAGCTGCGACTGTGTCGGGGGGCAAGAGCGCCTGACCCCGACCCTAGGGACGGCTCCTGGGTGGTCTCTTACCGAGGTTCATGGGGTGGTCCGCTTTGCTCTATCAGGTTGAACTCACAGGTCTGACTAGCGAACTGAGCATACTCTAAGAGGCCGCTGATGGGGTTCTTCAGCTGGCACTCGGTCAGCTTCTTATAGGGCGAACACCGTGGCAAGCCGTGACTGTAGAAGGATGGCATCTCCATGATGGCTCGGAACTCACCTGGGGCCGAGTGGATACTATTCAAGTCATCTGGGATGTCGTCTGTGGCCCACTGGCCATTTTCAAAGTCAACATACCCTGGTTTTGAGGGGCCGTTGTCATGAACAGGTGGCTTCAGTTTCACAGGTCCTGGTGTGGCCTCTGGTCTATTTTCTAGCTTTGTGACAGGTTCCTGCCCATTCGCCACTTTTCCCATGGTGACATTGTTCGAGGCACCTGAAACAGGTAAGTTATAGGTGGGAAGCTCTACATTTCTTTCGGTCTCTGGGGTAGCAGCTGGAGTGGTTTCCCGAACACTGCTGCTATTTCTCTTGATCTGCATCCTTTCCCGCTTCTTGTCAGTCAAATACCATATGGGGGGGGTTGCCCCCTGCCTGTAGACATCCCCCTGCCTCTCCAAGTCAATCAGCACGGCATTCACATCTCGGGCCTTGGTGAGGCCAATATTTTTAGCCAAATTCAGGGCAGAGGAGTTGGACACGTGAAACAGGTGGTCGCAGATTTTCTCCTTGATCTCGGCCATGTCAAAAAGAACAGGACAATCTTCCAAGCCAGATGCGGGGTTTCTGTCTTCAGTTTCCAAACTGGGGTCTGAACGCGGAGCTGCCTGCCTATGACTGTCCGCTCTCACGGCTTTGCTCTGCTGCTTCGCGGCATGAACAGGGACGGCGATTCTCCACAGAGGGGGGTTACCTGCCTCGTGATGTAGCTTGCCCTTCTTTTCCAGACTGTATAAAACTCGATTGATTTCCTTCTTTGGGACTCCAAGTTTTTTAGCCAGATCATACGCTGTGGTGGTCTTCCCTTCCTCGAGCTCCTCCAACAGCTTTAAGATCCTTTTTTCCTGATCCTGGCTGATATTCAGTTCCTGGAAACGTGAGGTGAGTCTATCAACACCTCTCCATGGCGAAGGATGCTGGAACCCTCTCTGGAGCCCCTGGCTTCCGAGAGACACGCCCCTGGGGATATTCCAGATCTGCAGTTGCCTGTCTCTGGCAGGTGGTCCTGGAAACCTTGGTTGGAGCCCAGGGAGGAACACTGGTGGTGATGGTGTCTGCTTTCCAGTCAGGGGCACTTCTGGGAGCCGTCCCTTGAGAAACTCTATCTGCCGGAGTTGGAAACTATTGGGTTGAGACCCTGGGCCTGGGTGTCTGAGCTTGCTCTGCTCATAGCCTTGAACTGGAGGGGGTCGACATTTGTTGAGGGAACACCCCTGCAGAACAAGAAGATGGAAAAGCAAGTGAATTAGGCCTGTGGTACTGAGCCTGGTGTGCGCCTCTCCCTTCACCCGCCCACGGGGAGGAGCTGCACCTGACTTCTAAAGGGCTGAGAACGCATGAGATGGGCGTCTAGCCCACCTGGGATGCCTGCCCACCTCCTAAGTACTGCCTGCCAAAGGGAAAACAGAGAGGCGAGCAGGGGGCCAGGGCAAAGTGGGGAGAATATAGATTAAAACACAGGTACTCATGTCAAAGTGCCTCCCCCAAACACCGAGCTTCCAGAACACAGGGGTTCTGACACCTTAGCACAGCCTCTCCAGCAACCTGACCTACTCCTTTCCCTTGGACAAAATTTTAGGGAAGTGAGAATGAACCTTTCCAGTGATCAAAAACTTACCGTTTTAAAGTTAGAAGAACAAACAACTAAACGTTATTTTGTTTTAACAAACAGAAACAAGATAGCCTGGTGTCCTGGTTTGAATTATGTCCCCCAAAAATGTGTCTATCAGTTTGGCTGGGCCATGATTCCTGGTACTGTGTGATTTTCCTGTATGTTGGAAACCTGCCTCTATGATGTTAATGAGGGAGGATGGGTGGCAGTTGTGTTAGTAAGGCAGGACTGGATCTATAAGACT